CCACAGCTATTATTTTTAGTTAGCATATAGCTAAACTCTAACCATGGTTATATAATAACAGCTGCATTCTGGTGCAATAAGCTGCATGTTCTATATTCAGTTAACATATGATCGACAAAAATAATCGGTGATTAGTCGACTATAAAAATAATTGTTTGTGGCAGCCCTAGTTACAAAAAACAAATATTAGTAGTACAATTTCAAGAATTCAGATATGATCAGAGGAAGTTCACCTCAACAACTAGTTGTCACTGCTCTACTTTCAGTTATACAACAATTTTGTGATCTTAAGCCCAAGTATTCAGATTCAACTGGCAGGAAAATGGACAGTTTTAAGTATATTTTTGAATAGTGATACCCCCCCCAGCACTTTTTTCATCACTTCTGAGTTTGCAGGTATGAGTCAGAACTCGAGCTATTGACTCTAATTTCCTGAGGAGCTTTGCCTCCATCTGTTTGCAGCATACACAGTGTGTGTTTTGTGTTGTTTGCCCTTCAGAAATTCTGTGCAGAGGACTCCGCTTCTGCTGCTGTATGCAGGAGGAAGGAGTGTCTAAAAAGAAGGCTTCTGGTTGGCTGTTTGGCAAGGCACTGCAGCCAATCAGAGCCTTGTGTGACAACAGTGAACATAATAGAGGACTGAAGTTCAGTCTGATATCAACCAGCTTATAAAATAGTTTTATCTTTAGCATCAGCTGACGTCGCATAGAAAGTTTTTTGTTTAGAAGTAATCAAAATTAACAATTTTTAAGTTAAAACCATTTGAAGCCTGGATGTATAAGGTCTCATAGCACTTGTTCAGTTTCATTGTCTAACCCCTGTATATGTGCATGAACAGCATAATCAGTTTTACATAAAGAAAGCAAGAATTACAAAGAGCACTGAGGGTCATTACCCTTTCCTTATCAAAATGTTAAGAGGAAAATAAATACAAAGCCTTCTCTGTGTTCCTTTCACAGAGGTCATCCCCACTGACAAGGTGGAAGTAGGCTTCAAGGACATCGATGCAGCCATCCTGGTGGGCTCCATGCCCAGGAAGGACGGGATGGAGAGGAAGGACCTGCTCAAGGCTAACGTGGCCATCTTTAAGACACAGGGAGCAGCCCTGAATATGTACGCCAAGAAGACTGTGAAGGTGACTTGCAGGCTGTTCAGTTTTCATTTATTTTTTATGTTTATTTTGGAGGCTTAATGGTGTTATCAGGGTTTCCCCTAGGATTTTTTTAACCCTGGTGGTGGTGGGGGTGTTGACACAACACCACTGACATGACTGAAGAACAGCATGGATTTAATTATGACTAGGGATGGGTAGGGCTGGGCGATAATTTGATCTCGATTATTGATAGACCTGAATTTTTTCTCGATCACGATGATCAGCTGTGAGCCTCTTACTCGATCAAACATGGCGGAAATGTGTGTGACAACAGCCAATCAGAATCCACCTTCTCCTGCTCCACTTCTGTTTATAAGTTGCTAAGGAAATGCAGACGGAGTGTCAGTATTAACCAAAGTAATCCAGTATAAAACGCTGAATCTCATAGAGTTCGCTCATTTGGGCGAGTTTCTGAGGTATTTTGGCCGCTGTCGCTTCCTGTACCTGCCGTTTGGGCTGTACGTTAACTTTTTTAGCTCAACCGTCAAAACCCTCCTGCTTAGAGTTTAATTAGTCAAAAGGTTGGACAATACCCTCTTCAATGTTCCTATTCTTTTCCTCTTTTTTTCCTCTTCATTGCAAATCAACAAAGAAGTCATCCAGACTATAAAGGAACACAAAACTGTAAGGAACCATGTAGCAAACCCAAAAGTGCTGAACAAACTAAAATAGGTCCCAGATTCTAAAGTCTAGAATCTAGACCACCTAAAGCAGGCACCCCTTGCTCTTATCACAGCCTTGCACACTCTTGGCATTTTTTGGAATTTCTTCATGATGGTTGAAAAAGAGTACTCTTATATACCACTTTTAAAATGTACAGATTTGGAAAAGTTTTTTATTCTTTGTTATTGGTGTGGTCAAACCCAAACATTCATAGCTGTAGTCTCTGTTTCCTGTCATAAGGAGAGTTTGCATATGTGTCAAAATGCTGCTGTAGCACTCTTAAATTACAATAACGTAAGAAGAATTCAAGGTGCCCAGAATGACTCTTCAAAGGTTTTGAGAGCAAATGTGTTGCATACATTTCTGAGCATTGTTCCCTCATTTCAACATTGAACATTGACCAGTTCAACAAAATTTCGAGCCTCTGAAACTCAAAGAAATGGAGAACCCCCACAAATGTTCTGGAATGTTTTTGAGACGAGGTCGCAAATGCTGTTCACAAACTAGTCCCCAGCAGTTGCAGTGATTTTTCTATCTTTATTTAATGTGTTGATAAAGTTCACTGAATGGGTCCTAAATCATCAAAACATTATTACAGTATGTGTCAGACATTTCAGCAAGTAACAAACAAGACAGTAGAGAATTTTTATTTATTATTATTTTAAGATGACATTGCTCTTGAAGAACTTTTTTTCCTACTTGTCCGATAACTGACTGTAAGTCACTGATCTGATGGTTTTTGTTTTCCTCTTTTTTTCTCAGGTTTTGGTGGTTGGAAACCCAGCAAACACAAACTGTCTGATTGCATCCAAGTCTGCTCCATCCATTCCCAAAGAGAACTTTTCTTGTCTGACCAGACTAGACCACAACAGAGCATGCTCCCAGGTACTCTCAGTTTCACCCTTTAGTACTGAAGATGAGCCTTATCTGTGTATCCGTTGGTTTAAATATCTGACTATATGACCTGCTGCCTTTTCCCGAAGACAAAATTTTTACAAAGCTTAAGAAACACTTTGACACTTGTCAAACCAAGCAGATAAATGTTGTCATTTCTAAAGCCTCACTAAAAAAAGGAAAATGTAATAACTTTCATTCAGCTGAACATTTTATCTTTTTAGTTGTACACAACTTGTCATATCATGGTCACTGGAACCAGTCTCCTCCAGAGGGGTTGGACACTCTTCCACTCTGGAGTTGCCCATGCTGAGAGGCGCCGAGCAGGACTGGGCATACTTATTGCCCCCCATCTCGGTGCCTGTACATTGGGGTTCACCCCGGTGAACAAGAGGGTAGCCTTCCTCCACCTAGAGGTGGGGGGACGGGTCCTGACTGTTGTTTGTGCCTATGAGCCTAACAGCAGTTCAGATTACCCACCCTTTCTGGAGTCCTTGGAGGGGGTGCTGGAGAGCGCTCCTAACAGGGACTCCCTCGTTCTGCTGGGGGACTTCAACGCTCACATGGGCAATGACAGTGAGACCTGGAGGGGCGTGGTTGGGAGGAACGCGCCCCCCTGACCTGAACCTGAGCGGTGTTTTTTTCTTATTGGACTTCTGTGCTCATCATGGATTGTCCATAACAAACACCATGTTCAAATATAAGGGTGTCCATATGTGCTCTTGGCACCAGGACACCCTAGGCCGCAGTTCGATGATCGGCTTTGTTGTTGTTTCAGCTGATCTTCGGCCGCATGTTTTGGACACTCGGGTGAAGAGAGGGGCGAAGCTGTCAACTGACCACTACCTGGTCGTGAGTTGGCTCCATTGGTGGGGGACGATGCTGGTCAGACCTGGTAGACCCAAACGTATAGTGAGGGTCTGCTGGGAACGTCTGTCAGTCTCCCATCATACGGAGCTTCAATTCATACCTCCGGGGGGACTTTGCACATGTTCCGGGGGGAGGTGGGGGACATTGAGTCTGAGTGGGCCATGTTCCATGCTTCCATTGTCGAGGCGGCTTACCTGAGCTGTGGCCTTGGGGTTGTCGGTGCCTGTCGTGGCGGCAACCCTCGAACCTGCTGGTGGACACTGGCGGTGAGGGAAGCTGTCAGGCTATCGGGTCTTTTTGGCCTGTGGGACTCCGGAAGCAGCTGATAGGTGTCGGCAGTCCAAGCGGATTGCGGCTCGGGTGGTTGCTGAGGCAAAAACTCAGGCATGGGAGGAGTTTGGAGAGGCCATGGAAAAAGACTTGCGTACGGCTTCGAGGTGATTCTGGTCCACCATCCGGCGTCTTGGGGGGGGGAAAGCGGTTTGCCACCAACACTATTTATGGTGGGGATGGTGCACTGCTGACTTCAACTCGGGACGTTGTGGGTCGGTGGGCAGAATATTTTGAAGACCTCCTCAATCCTACAGACACGTCTTCCCATGAGGAAGCAGAGCCTGAGGACCCTGGGTCGGACTCTCCAATCTCTGGTGCCGAAGTGGTTACAAAGCTCCTCGGTGGCAAGGCGCCGGGGGTGGATGAGATACGCCCGGAGTTCCTTAGGGCTCTGGATGTTGTGGGGTTGCATTGGTTGACGTGACTGTACAAAATCGCATGGACATTGGGAGCAATTCCCCTGGAGAGTGTGCTCCAACTATAGGGGGATCACACTTCTGAGTCTCCCTGGTAAGGTCTATTCGGGGGTTCTGGAGAACCCCGAATAGACCTAAAGTCTAACTTTGTAAGAAACGTTAATGTGTTTCCAGCTTCATCGTTATTTTACAGACATGTAACTTGAGTGCACGACCAAACTTAGGGTTCGACAGAGAGAGCTCTCCTGTGTGTGCGCACTCAGACTGTTATTTTCTCATAGTGAGGTGGGAGGGAGCAGCTGCTTTCTTCTTTTTAACATTAAAGATGAATACTTGTAGATTCCAGATTACAGCAGAGACGTGTCTCTGTTTAAATTTTATTTTCCTTAAACTCACAAAGTTCTCTCTGTGGGTCAGTTTCAGCTGGTTATAGTTTATCATACATATCTGCACAAGTTAATCCTAATGTTTTAGCAATAATAAGGTCTAAACTAAGAGGTAACTGTACTGTGATCAATATAATTCATACAATATCAAATATGAAAAATAAATAGTACTGAATGACTTCATGAATTATGATCCTGTATTCTCTTTGATTTAAATAGACATTTTAGGGGAGAAATCTGTCAAATAAATTATATGAAAAATTATTTATACTTCGTAAAGAACTTTCTGTAAACACATAAATTGCTTCATAGTAAACTACAGAAAGGTTAAAAAAAACTCATTTCCTTCCAAATGTTGTTGGTCTTGATGATGCAGGTTGAAATATATTTATAGATACTTGCATGATTTTTTCTGTTTATAAATGTATAACTGGATATTAAGACACAATTAGGCTCAAGTATTCAGTAGATATATTTTTATTGGATGTTTCCAACCAAATAACTGCACTTGTACAATACAGCTGTGAACCAGAGAGCGTTGAATATCTCTATTCATTGTGTTTCATTGAGTGACACGTGATTCTTGGTTATCACGATTCCCCAACGATCGCCAATATTTATAGTTTTTTTCAGTTTATATATATATATATA